GCCAGAGCCTCAGGAAGTGGCCCAAGCTCCACCCGGATCCTCTCCGGGTCCATCAAGCGCCTGGGACGGAACCATCTGACCGGTTCCGTCTCCCTGTGGTGAGGGGTAGCCAGTCGAAGGAGCAAATGATCAGACCATGACACGGGCTGCATAACTAAATCCCCTATTTCTAGATCATTGCCACTGACCAGAGACAAAAATCAGATCCAGAGTGTGTCCCCCTGTGTGAGTAGGGCCTCGAACTAACTGGGTCAGGTCCAAGGCCGTCATGGAAGCCATAAACTCCCTGGCTGCTATTGATGTGTCACCGACCGATGGCAGATTGAAATCCTCCATGACCATCAGCCTGGGGGTACCAACCGCCACCCCGGCTATCACATCAGGCAGCTCAGGCAGGGCCGCTGCCACATAGCAGGGAGCCAGGTACACAATCAGCAGACCCACCTGCACCCCACGGTCCCACTTCACAAGGAGGGACTCACATCCAGCTATCTGAGGAACAGTGGTCTCCCTCGGATATAGACTTTCATTAATAACAACCGCCACACCCCCGCCCCTCCCCTGGGCCCTCGGCTGATGGAATGCCCAGAAACCTGGTGGGCACATTTCTACAAGGGGCACCCCCCCTTCCGGGCCCAACCAGGTCTCCGTGATACCTACCAGGTCCGCTCCCCCCTCCTGAATAAGATCAAAAATGAGGGGGGCTTTATTTACCACAGACCTGGCGTTACATAACATCAGCCGGAGGTCCAGGGCTTGAGAATCTGAGCCACCTGGGAAACGAGAAAGGCATTGGGGACCGGAGCACGCAATTGCTCGAAGGTAGCGAGTGCGCACTCCCGAAACATGATATGGCCCCCTGCCACCCCCATATCTGCCCCTCCCACCTACAACCCTCCCTGGATCACATCCGACCCTGTATCCCTGGTGCCGTACCCCCTCGCAGGGCCCAGCCTCGACCCTGGTGGATTTCCCCCTAACCCACCCCAGTCTTCCCAGAACCCCTTAAAATTTTGATTAAAAACCCATTTAAAAAACCCCTCAATCTCTTCTTTGCCGCATGCCATCTCTCGGGGCTCCAAAACCCGTCATCAAGATAAGCCCTCAATAGCGTGGAGGGCCAGGCCTGCGAAAGGGGGGAATTTCGCAGTGCTAGCAGCTCCGCCGCTGAATACATCAAAAAACATCCAATAAACCAGGGTGGGAAAGCCAATTTGGGTAGGTTCCAAAAAGTCCTGGAGCAGAAAGATCTCAGTATAGATGGAATCTGGTCCCCACTGCCCTCTCACGGCAGTGGAAGGAGACAATGTTAATTCAGTCATTCGGAGGGAAATTTCTAGGTCACTCTCTCACGGTGACCTAGCCAGATGAACTTGGAAACTAGGATTCATTAATCCAGCTCCTCCGATAGCAGATGATTCATAAGCAATGCCATCTCACTCAGGGTCCAGGCCATTTAATCCAGGTCATCGTCTGGCAAGGGGAGTTCAGCTGGCATCACTCAGTAGAGGCAGAATCCAGATGGAATTGATCCCCCTCAATAAAAAAGAGTGATAACTGTCTTACTGAAGGAGGATGTATTTTAGGGAGGGAGAATTCCCGTCACATACAAGTAGGAGGAGGCTGGACACAAGCTGATGGTCGGGCCACACATAAAGGGGGGGGAAGGGGTGGAGAGGTCTTCCATGGAGGCCCAATAGTCCTAGGCCATCCACCGGCCCTTCAACCCCAAATCATACATGCCACCCCAGCAGTCATCCTGTCTGCCATACCTCCATCTTCCGACCCCTGGTTGCAATAGGGTATTTACGGGTCCTGCAGAGGCATGCTCCCAGAAGTCTGGGCCAACGCCCTGCGCTTCTCTAAAGCTCCACACTTTGATAATCTTTGACATTTGTACCTCCCCACCGGCATCCAATATCGCCCGTCCACGACCATCCTGCCATCCATCCAGCTTCTTCGCCAAGGCTGCCACTGCTGCCGCGGCGCTGTCACCAGTCCTCAGCTGCTCCAAGACTCCCAGCACACCCTCGGAGTCCCAGAAGGTGGTCGGAGCCGGGAGAGAGCCAGGGAAGCCCCCAAGCTCCTCGCCAATGCCGACGCGTTGCAGTTCTTCGCAGTAAGAAGTTCCTCCAGCCGGGGTTGGGGCTGCCAAATCATAGCAGCCCCAAAGGACCCCTAACACCGCCAAAAACTCCCCATTCCTGGACGCGGCTTAGGGAAGCGTCGCCATTTTGGGCATGCACAGTTATTACAAAAGAACTAATTTTATAGAATCTATAACTTTGATTATATTGAAATTAAAAAGAAATATCTTTGGACAGATTGGAGAAAGAAAAAAATTGAATATATTGTGTAGCAAGATAAGAAAAATATTACAGTTTGACTAAAACGGATGTAACGTTTTCTGTGTATTTGATGTCTGAATAATGCTAGGAGGTATCTTCCTCCTTCTCTTTGTTCTTTCTCTTTCTTTCTTTTTTTCCTTTATTTTTTTCCCCCTCTTATCTTTTCTGTTATATCTTTATTCTTTTCTTTTTTCTTTCTCTTTCTCTCTCCTTTTTATTTCTTATTGTTATTATTATCATTCTCTCTCTCTCTCTTTACCTTTATCTTAATTGAAGTTGACTATATAAACATATAAATATTAATTTGATTAGGAAACAAGAGAATAAATGATTGAAGAAAAATATGATCTTTGAATGTCCTAATGCTTACTCTAAATTTTGAATTTTTAATAAGTATTTTACGGACTTAAAAATTAGAGGAAAGTGATTTTCAAGACTGGAAAATGTGATTTCTATACATAAATTACAAAAAGTATGAAGAGAATGAATGAGCTTTGGAACATTATCTATAGACTTAACAATTATAGAAAAACAATTATAGAAAATTGATTTTAAAGTGGTTTAAAATGTTGTTTTTTATAGAAAAATAAGAAATAAGTATGAAATGGGAGAAATTTAAAGGAAATTTATAGCTTAGGAGAGAGTAGGTGAGAAGATATTTATTATAATACATTTTTATTCTAAATTAGTAGGAGACATGGAGGAGAATATGTTGAAAAATAATATAGGTAATATATTGTGAATTAGTTAAAACTAAACAGCCAAACAATGGATGCAGGAGTGGAGGAAAGCATAAAGCTGGATAATAGCTAAAATAAAATCCTATGAACTAGCTAAACAAATGAAGTTAGGAGTGGAGGAAAGCATGATCCTGGAGAACAGTTAAAGCAAAGCTGTGACCCAGTTTAATAAATAGAGGTAGGAGTGGAGGAAAGAATGATACTGGAGAACAGTTAAAGCAAAGCTGCAAACCAGCCAACAAATAGAGTTAGGAGTGGAGGAAAGCATGATGCTGGAGAACAGGTTAAAGCAAAGCTGTGAACCAGCCAAAAAATAAAAGTTAGGAGGGGAGGAAAGCATGATTCTGGAGGTCAGCTGAAATAAAGTTGTGAACCAGTCACAAATAGAGGTAGAAGTGGAGGAAAGCATTGCTGGAAAACAACTAATTGAGTTGTGAACCAGTTTAATAATAGATTTAGGAGGAGTGGAGGAGATAATGTTGAGAGCAGTTACAGCCAAACTGTGAACCAGCTAAATAAGAAAGGTTAGGAGTGGAGGAAAGCATCACTGGAAAGCAGCTAATTAAGTTGTGAACCAGCAAAAAAATAAACCTAGAAGGAAGTGGAGGAGATAATACTGGAGAATAGTTAAAGCAAAACTGTGAACCAGTTAAACAAACAGAGATAGGAGTGGAGGAAAGCATCGCTGGGAAATAGCTATCTAAGTCATGAACCAGCTAAATATTAGATTTAGCAATGGAGAGCAAGCCTGAAGTAAGCAAAAATAAAGTATTTTGGGAGTAGTAAATTATAGACGGAAATGTTGAATGAATGTTAAAATGAATTGATTTTGAAATGATTTTAAGAGAGGAGAAAAATATTTTATGTTAAGACTATGGATACTAGAGGTCATCTAAGAGAGGTAAAATATAGATTAGATTTAATGGGTTTTAGGATTAAGGAATATATATGAAATACTGATTGTTAAAATGATAAAGATCTAGAATGGTGTTTATTTGGAAATGATTGAATATAAGAATGAGCTGTGTATATTTGGACTTTAAGATTTAGGGTGATATAGTAGAATGCTTAATGATTAGAATAAGATGCTAGAATGTGCGATAAAAAACCAGGATTGGATTTTCTTTTTTTTTCTTTAAGATGTAAATGGTTGAAATCTGGAATTGAATTGGTTAAGGGAGTGTGAGCAACTGTACCTGTTTTATACCGGATCAAACCTTTGCTCTAAAAAGATGTATTTTATGTTTTATGTTTAAAAATTAATTTAAAAAAATTCAAAAAAAAAAAAGATCTTTAAAGTTAACAACCACCACCATGAATTACATTTGGAAATACTGTGAAAGCCAATGCAGCTTGCAGGGCAGTGTTGTTACATGCCCTGAATAACTGGTGCCATTAACTGCATTGCTACATTGTGCACCAGTTAAAGCTTCTGAATATTCTTCAAGAGCAGCCTCATTGCAACAGTCTGGAGATTATGAGGTCATGAGCAGGGCATCCTGGTCCAGGAATAAGGCCAACTGATGCATACTTCAAAGTTGTACAAAAACCCTCTTAGCCACAGCTATCATTTGCCCCTTCTTTAGAGACACAAGTGCAGGACGATCCTCAGATTGCATACGTGTCTGTCTGAAGTGATGACATCCCATCCAGAAGTCTGAGCATTTGACTATTTGCAATCTATACTTAGATGGCTGTATGGTTACCATAGCTTGCAGAAATATAGCATCCATCCCTGCAATAATTTGAAGTTATCTAAAGTAGAGGACAAGTACAATACACATGTATTGGCTACACAAAGAATGACTTATATAAACTCATCTTTTCCAACTATGCTACATTATTTATATTACTGCTATCTAAAAACTTAATAAAATAAAAATCTTAATCAGATATTATTTCAACTTTTTACCTTTTGATTGCATCCCATACTTTAACTCCATCATCCCGATAGTAGTAGTATGGAATATCCTCATTGCTTTCCATATGTCTTGACTTGATTTCTTCAGGGAAGCAGAGAGAGCTGTAGGTAAGATGTTTCATTGCTCGCTGGACCATTTGCACATGCCCACCTCCTCCAGTGGCATTTGCCTTTAGAAACCAAAACATATAATATAGGTAATTAAGAAAAAACACAGTTGAGAAAGACCCCATTAGGAGGTCACACAGAAGGATGCAATGATGCAGCTTGGCCACATGCAGCCATGATAGAGCTAAAGACCTCTATATGTGTGCTTCTCTAGCTTCCACACAGGCTTGTTTTCATATTAAAGGTTTAGTCACTCAACTTCCCCACATTTTCCAAAGAAACCTTACACACTATTTACATTACAGAAAAAAAACAAGTAAAAAAGTATTTGTATTTAACGGGTGGGTTTTTCCCTCTTCTGTAGGAAATAAGGGCAATTATAGCTGCTCCCCAGGTCTACTAATATATGTAAATAGGGAAGCCAAAATTGGTGTCCACCAGTCAGGATGTTATGTTCAGGGGGGATTAATAGTTCCCCTGAGGCTTTTTCAAATTTCATAATGTGATATTTAAAGCAGTCAGAAAATGGGGATTGAGTGATGGAGGTCAGTTAATATAATTTAGTGGTCTATGCAGGAGCAGATGCAATGGTTTTGCCTAGGAACCATAAAGCTAGAAGCATTGATAATCTATATCATTACAAAGTGACAAAGCCAGTTGTTGTAGAATGAAACAAAGAATAGCCCATCCTGAAGAAGCTTCAACTGTTGTCAAATTCCTTAAAGAAGCTCAGTGATGAAAGCAAGATTCCCAGAGATTAGGAGAGGTAGATTTGTTAAAATGAAAAAGGGTTACAATATCTTGAAAACTGGATGTGCCTTCATTTATTAATCAGTATGTTAAGCAGGGGTGAAATGCTACCTGTTCGCTCCAGTTCAGGTGAACCAGTAGTGATAAAAACTACCAGTTCGGGTGAACCGGTAGTAAAAAAAAAAAAAGCTACCGGTTTGGTTGAACCAGCAGTTTAAAAAGCTACTGGTTCGGGCAAACCGGTAGTTAGCTACCGGTTTGGGTGACCCAGTAGTTAGCTATCGGTTCAGGAGAACTGGTAGTTTAAAAATGCTACCAGTTCCTCTGAATGGTATTTCCAACTATCAGCTGTGCAGCGGGGTTTAGCTTTGTTAGAAAGCAGGAAATCCTGCTTTCTAGCAAAGCTAAATTGCGCGCCACAGCTGATCCCCCCTTGCTGTTCTACTTACCTTCCCAAGCCTTCTTTTGGGACGTACTGCGCATGCATGCGCATGCAGCAAACACCAAAAGAAGGCTTGGGAAGGTAAATAGAACAGTGGGGGGATCAGCTGTGCAATGCAGTTTAGCTTTGCTAGAAAGCAGGAAATCCTGCTTTTTAGTGAACTAAAGCGCGCACCACAGCTGATCCCCCCCTCGCTTCTACTTACCTTTCCAAGCCTCCTTTTGGCGCATACTGTGCATGTGCACACATGCAGAGTGCGCGTTTGGTGTTCAGTGCGCATGCGGGGCCAGCAAACTGGTAGCAAACCAGTTCAGATTTCACCACTGATGTTAAGGTTTATTTCCCATTACCTTTGATCTTCTTTTTAAGTCTTGGTTTAATAGAGAAGATGTTAATTGCTTATTTGATACTATGAAAATATCCAACTGTTCTTGTTCTGCAATATTTTGAAAATGTTTTCCTTCCCTGGATCAGACAATTTTATTATAGCTCCTCTACAGTTAAAGGGAAAAGTCTTTTTTTTTTTTTTTTTTGCTTTAATTTATATGCAGCCCTTCTCTGGAGACTCAGGGCAGCTTACAATGCGTTAAGCAATAGCCTTCATACTTTTGTATATTTATACAAAGTCAGCTTATTGTCCCCACAATCTGGGTCCTCATTTCACCTACCTTTGAAAGGATGGAAGGCTGAGTCAACCTTGAGCCTGGTGAGATTTGAACTTGCAGTAATTGCAAGCAGCAGATGTTAATCTGTTAATAACAGTGCTTTAGTCCACTGTACTACAGGCTCTGTATACCTAAAATATAATTACCCTTGCAATGTAGAGGGAAAATGAAATGGCCTTGAGGGACAAAAGGAAGACCTGCTACAATGGAATAAAAGGGGCCTGTATGTAATGTTGAGTAATCATTTCAGACAAGCCCCTCAGTTCACACAAAGATAAAGTTGTAGGGGACACATATTCAGACTTGCAAGATTTTGTTGCTATAGCATTACAATAAAAGTAGTATTGAGCTACATAGAATTGCTTTTCCAGTCTGATCTATTTTGAAGAGCTGACATGCTGCTTCAACTGGAATGTTGGCAGGTGACGTTGACTGATTTTTGCTCTCCAGAGTTCAGTGAAAGTATGGTGAATTCAAGATATTATAGGGGATTTCTAGTGAGGAAAATGATGAACTAGACATCTCTGAAACAGTGTAAATGATAATGTGGTGATAACCAGCAGCATGTTCTGTCAAATGAAACCTCTCTGGACAAGGGAGGATGAAAGATTACCCACATGCTCCTGATGGCTGCTCCTTGTGAGGAGACAGCAGGATACTGAACATGTCGTGGGTTCATCCCAGGAGATGCAGGAAGCCATTAAGCTCTCAACCAGGGTAGAGTCTTTAAGGAAATTGGGTTTGTCTGTCTTGCTTTCTAATCACTTTTGAATTTATAATTATTTTAGAGTTAAAAACAACCAGTTTGAAAAACTATTTGGTAAGCAAGGTTTCATCCCAAAATAGAAGAAAAGCTAACAGTTTAAATAATTTAAAGAATGTAAAACAAATGGAAAAAGCTAAATTAGAATTTAATTTAAGAAAGTTTTAAGCATATTGTGACCAGATGTATTTAGAAAATTCTTCTGAAAAGTTAAGTAAAAAAAATAATATTTCCATGGGATCACAAATTGTTTAATCTATTATGAATGAGACAATTGACCGAAAGTTGAAAACAAAACAACAAATAAACTTAAGACTATGAGAATATAGAAATGGGATATTAGAAGGAACTAAGGTTCCAGGCAGGAAGAAGAAATGTGAAATTTACAATATGACAAATGCATGTCACTTGAGACATTTCAAAGGCTTTTTTTGAAGAATTGGGAGATAAACCAATAATTAAATTGACAGTAAATTAATGTATTTCTAAATGTATTTTTGGAAGATTTTAAAGAAAAAGTGAAAGATGTGGCAGACATTAATATGGAAGAATTTATGGATAGATAGACAGAATGAAGAGGACATACAAACTTTAGCTGATGTTAAAAGCCAAGGAGTTACGAGCACAAATGGTATTCACTTGTATTTCCAATGGAAAATCAACATCCAATGAGGGAACAGAAACTTTTAACAGTAAACTACTGGCTTACAGGATGGTGCTTTTAAGAAAACTTCAGATTCCAAGACCACAGTCTACATTACCTACATGAAAGGCTTCTGGCAAGGGATGGTTTGTACCTCATAAGGACAGAACTACAATCAGTGGGTTAAAACTACAAGGAAGTAGGTTCAAACTGCATGTCAGGAGGAACAATCAACCAGTAGAATGGATTGCCCATGAAAGGATTACTTTTAATTTGCTGGAGGTCTTCAAACTTCTAGGCAGTTAACTGTCAAACTTATTCTAGTGGATTCTGCTCTAATTAGGTAAGACTAGACAATCTTTAAAATTATTTTCAAATTAGAGCGGTAGGTAGGTTTCAGTCTCTTTATAATGCTATCCCATCTCTCTGGACTTAACAAATATATTCCGGTAAACTGGGTGGGTGGGAAGAACTACATGGAAGATTTTTCCTTAAAGCTTGGATTAGAGTTAAGATTTCCTGTTATCCTCCAGAACTATGGAAGTGGCATCATCTTGTGAATGTGTGTGTGTGTGTGTGTGTGTTGTATGCATGTGCATTGACGCTTTCATGTCAGTCTTGATTCCTGAAAACTGCCTGGAGGGGTTAATTTTTCATGGCAAGGTTATGTGGAGGAGATTTGCCATTGACGGCTTCTTTAGGGCAGAGAGAAAATGAGGTGATTCAGCTGCTTTTGTGCCTAAGGCAGGACTAGAACTCATGGCTCTTCTGGTTTATAGCATGGTGCTTTAACCTCTAAACAAACTGGCTAATCTTACCTTGTCAAAAAGTCCATATTCACAGATAAGTTGCTCTCGAGCTTTGGTGTTTATAGCTATTGTAAACCGTACATGAGGTATCAGAAGCTAAAAATGAGAAGAGAAAAAAATAGATTACTGGATGAAAAACTTTTCATAACTTTCTAAATATTACCATAAAAGTTAGAAATGGCTATATGGTGAGCAAGGCTGAGCCTATAAGAGAGCACTTTTCTCAGGCATTTCTCCCAGAAAGCATCTAAAAGAAGCTTAGAACTTGGTAGCTCCCACTTCCAACTATCTATCTTCCAAAGAGGCATTTCATTTAGTGTCCTTCCCATTCATCTCTGGTGTGTTTGAGACAAAGAGCTCACAATTCCTACGGCTTTTCTGCTGAGTAAAAAAGGTAAAAATAAAAAAATTGAAAATACTGACTGTACCAACTACCAGCCACCTACTTCAGAACCTGTTGGGAATGATACAAGAAAAATTTGTATCACATTTGCTTCTGTACATTTATTTAACAATTTTCTAATTAAAAGTTTAAAAGAAACTACCACATTTCTTTTCTTCTATCTCTTCAATTCTGGGAATCTGGGATTTTTGAAAACAGACTTAAGTGGCACTTCCTCCTTCATTTTTCCTCATTGGAACAATGATCCCAAAGTCACCCAGCAAGCTTCTTATGTTGTTGGAGTTCTGACAAATGCCCTAGTTAACTCATGAGCCTCGGGCCAAATTTCAAAAGAAATCCAGTTATTAAGATGTCAGCAACTTCCCGAGTGAAGTCAACTCTGCCACATATAATTTACAGCTCAACTCTGACCCTGTTTCCCCTCTCCTCTCAATCTGTGTCATAAATTACATTCTCCAACGAGGCACTTTCGCACTCTGTAGAAACCACGTCTCACATGCCGGCTTTGATAATCTGAGATCCAACCTTGAAAAAGATATACATGGAATGTGCTTTTGAACATGGCTGCTGAACTGCTCCGTCAGTCCTCCCCCCTTTCCTGCCCATGGCAACTCGAGAGCAGATGAGGAATGCTTTGCGAGTTGACATATGTGTAATTTCAACTTTAACTACAGTGCTTATTTTCTTTTGGGCCCTGAAATAAGCACTGAGGCTTATTTTGGGGGGTCTTAATTTTTTTGAGTGCCACCGCTGTGAGGTGGAGCTGCCTGACGTGCACACCGGTTTACCTCAGGGCCCCCATGGCTTCACACCCCAACAACTGCCTGGTGGCAGCAGCACCAGCAGCCTTGTACAGCAGGAGCCCACATGGCCGCCAGCTCACTTTTTCCAGCACCAGCACAGCACCAGAGTAGGAGGCTGAGCAATGCAGCCAGGCAAAACACTCTGTTCCCAAGCACCCCATAAGCACCATAATACTTTTTGCCTGGACGGAGAAATGAGGGAGACTCGAAGCTTTATCTGCTTGCAAATGGAATGCTTTGAAATGGAGCGTCCCATTTGCAAGCAGACGAAGCTTTGTCTCCCTCTGGGAGAAAAGTGTGTGGTGGAGCCAGAGGCACGGGTGGGGGGGGGGAAGCAGGTGATCACAACACACCACCCATTCCATCCCATTGTCTCTTGGCTTGTCTGAGGATGTGCTGGGCAGGCGCCCACATGGGGCATCTGAATCGCCTGCCTCCCCCCTCCCCTTGCCTCTGCCTGCTGCCGGTGCTGCTGCACAAGCCTCCCGCAAGCCTCCCATGAGCCAGACAGCCACAGAGTACATCCGGATTCCCTCCCCCCCCCCGGCCTCTGCACTCACAGGTATCTGTGCTGCACCAAGGGGCTGGTGGGGCATGCCCATCTTCCAATGCTTATTTTCAGGGTAGGGCTTGCACAAAATGTAATTTAATTAGTTTAATTAGTTTAATTAATTAGTTTACTAGAACAAAAATTGAACAATCTAGAGGCACAACTAGCCACTGAGAGACCAAGATTCATTCCAAGATTCATCGGTGAACACGACAAACTTCTAATAAAGGTGGAACTCTGTACCCAAACAGAACAGAACAAAGAAGAAACAACCACCAGGAAACAGGAAAGGTGATGGCAGCATGTCACAAGGAAGGAAGGAAGGAAGGAAGGAAGGAAGGAAGGAAGGAAGGAAGGACCCCTGGAGTTGAACAATCAATTTTATACTTTCCCCTTGGAAGAAAACATCCAGACACCTAGAAAAGAGTCTCTGTCAAATGTTCCAGTGACCAGGAGCAAAGAAGCTCAGATTCCCCCCCCCCCCAAGTGTGTTCATGATAGGTGATTCACTACTCAGAGGAACAGAGTCATCAATTTGTAGACCAGATTATTTTTCAAAGGAGGTGTGTTGTCTCCCAGATGCAAAGATTAAAAATGTGACAGAGAAACTTACTCCTCTTTCATGTTGGGACAAATGATAGAACTTCCTTTTTACAAAGGATACCCCAGATTAAGGGCTTAATCTGGGATAGAGTCGAGGTGATTAGATAGAGCTGGACATTTATTGGCCAGATGCCCTTCCTGCCACCATGCATTCACAGCAGATATTTTTTCTTTGCGCCTTATTAGAAAAATATATGATGCTACTTAGGATTGAACTCTCAACCTTCCAAGTCTTCACTACAATGCCACTACACTGCTCTGTCAACCCTACAGTGAACCTGGCCTGAAGCCATCTTGGAGGCTTCAGGGTTGCCACAGAATGGTGGGAGGGGGGAAATAATTAGAAGGGGTGTTGTAGCCAAAACAATAAAGATTTCCTGTGGGAACCAAAGACATTCCCACAGGTGGCTGGTCAGAGGAGGAGCAAATAACCAAGCAACCGCAGGCACCTGGATTGGACAGCATGACCAGTGACTTGCAGGGCGAGGGAAACTTTTACTTTTAATCAGATGAAAGCCACGGGAAACTTCAGAGTTGACTTTCACCAGTTGTGACAATATGAAGTATCCAATAAATTGTTCTTTAAGAAACCTGCCTACCACAGAGTTCTGTTTTCTATGGGTGCATTACTTGGAATGCTGACATGCTTATGGTCAACTCTGCAGCTCGGTGCCCCTCTTTTCCACACTTGAAACAGGCTGAAGATCTTGGAGAGAATGCAGTTTGTGGTTTGGGGGGCCCTTGCTTCCATTGGGGTGGGGATTTCTTCCATGCTCGCCCCGCTCGATACTGGTTTCTGGCCATATCGATCTCAGCTTTTTTGGCGGTGACATACCATTCATGTAGGTGATTCGGTGCACCTCAGGCCACACAGGAATTGTATAGATCATCACTCAGTCCATCCTTGAAACAGCTCACCAAAATATCTTCTGGCCTGTGCACACGACATGTGAGATCCCGGAATTCTTCAGTATACTCTGCTACTGGCCGTCGCCCCTGCTTCACCACTTTAATGCGGTCGCGTGCTTTGCGATCTGCCAGTGGGTCCTTGAACCAACGTCGCAGGGCCATCATGAAGTGGTTGAAATCCAGCAGTTCTGGTGCATTGGCGTTATGTAGGGTCACCATCCATCTGGCCACAGCACCCTCTAGGGCTAGGGTCACAACTCGCACTCGGGATCCTTGGGTTTGGAAATCCCGTCCATACTCTTGCATGTAGGTTAGCACATGTGCCACAAAGAATCCTAATTGTTGCAGATTCCCATCAAACTTCACCCCAAAGGGGGGAGTTTCTCTTTCCAGTTGAGGAGCCCGGGTTTGGTTGGGAATAGGCGCCGGTGTGCATGCTTCCTTTGGGGGGAGGGTTTGCTGGGTCTTCTCCCACTGCTGCTGCACCATTTGCTCGATAGGCAGGCTCTGGGGGGGGTTGCCTCCCCTTGCATCATCCACGACGGCTGCCCTTTCCGTGCCCTTTGGTTGTTGTCCTGGCTCCCTTCGGATGTTGAGATTTTCCAAAGTTTCCATCACCAATTGGGTTATATGCCTCTTCAGATAGTCCTCCCTCAGTGGTGCTTCGGTCAGTCCCCCCTGGTCAGTAAGGGCTTCTAGTTCCAGTTCCCACCCCGGTTTTCGGTTGCCACGGTTGAGGGTGACTCCTCTGGTTCTCTCATCCCAGCCATCTTTCTTCCTGATGCCAATTGACCAGCGGGGCTTTTCAGGATTCTCCAGGGTTACCTCATCCTCTCTGATGGGATGCATGAACCAGGCATCCGACTGGGTGGTGGTTGCTGTCTCTCCCCAGCAATCGGGGAGAGACCTCCCAGCTCTCTGCTTCGTTCAGACATGGTTTGCAAGGTCCCCTCAGTAGAGTCAAGATTGCTTCTCTGGGTTGACCATTTTGCAGATCTTGCTTTCTGTAAGGATCGCCTCTCCTTCCAACTTAAGAAAGTACAAACTCTTGAAACATGGTTGTTCAAAAGGATTCTTTTATTAAGCAGAAGTGAAAGCCATCCAGCTAAAGCAAGATCTGAATACCCTTAGGCAAAGCAGTAGGATTAAAGTGGTAGAGACCCCTCCCTTTAAGTCAGAATGCAGATTTTAGCCAATACACAAGTGTGAAGATGTCTTCTTTACTATTTCCTCTGAGAACCTGAACAAACATGCATTTCCACCATTATACTTTAAAGTGAGACAACCCACATGGCTATCATAAAAATTCCTGCAGGTAAAGGGGATCTCAGGGCTCTTTGGAGCCAGGATATAGGTTGTAAAGTATCTGTTGACTCAGGCAATGCTAGGGAATCGAATCCAAGTGTCCCCCCTCCTCCGATTGAATGGCAGTATCACTTTTAGGGATCTGACAGTTGGCCTACCGGAGGTTGAAAAGCTCAATAAATCGCATGCCGGCAGGTGTTGCACATTGGCGGTTGCGACACATATTTTGAGTGACAGGGAGCTGCAGCAGAGGGGTGAAAGAGCCACATGTGGCTCCAGAGCCGCAGGTTTCTGACCCCTGACTCAGGGAATGAAGGATTCTAGAACTAAATTGCTGGCTCAAGGGAACTTTGAATTTTTGGACTGTGGTTTACATTACTTGCAGAAAGTTTTCTGGTAAGAAATGGGTACACCTTACATGGATCAGGAAGGAAGTGGTTGGAAAACAACTAGCTTGGCTCATCTGAAGAACTTTAAACGAAAATTGAAAAGCGAGCAAGAACAATCTTTAGGGCTACCCCAA